CCTGTAAAACAAAATAAACCACAAAAAAAAAAAAAAAAAAAAATCATATTACATTGTATTGTACAAAATGCACAACAGGAAAAAAGAGGAAAAAAAAAAAAAGGGCAACAAACCTGAGTAGTGCTTCGAGAGATTGCATCTGCAAGATTGTATTGGTTTCTACTAGCTGGCGTCCATTTTCCTCCGTCCATTCTGAAATTTAACTTAGCGTGTGAGAACTAGTGTAGGAGATAAATAAAAGACTGTCTTTTCATGAAGTTATATGGTTTCAAATATCTGAGCATTGACTTTTAGAAGTTCCTACTTTTTGATGGGAAAAAAAATGTATATGTGTATGAACATTTTCGTTTTTTGATCGTGGGATTATGGGAATGCTAGATTCTTATGCAATTACTAACCCGAGAACCCAGAAACTGTATCCATTAAAGTGATAGCTCTGGATAATGTTCTCGTGATTCTGAAAAACAATCTCAATAAAAGCCCTGTAATCAGCACCCAAGACTGATGTGTCAAGATACATCTGTTTGCCAGTGGGGTTATCTGATATACTTCCAACTCTAAAGACTCCTCCAATCTTGAAGTTATCTGCGAGCTTAAGGGGCGTGTCAGCGGGGACAAAAGACACACCGTTAAGGCCATATCTTTGCGTGCCATTAACTTGAGCTGCTGAGCTCTCTAATACTATGGTCCTTGAAATGTTTATCTGACCATAATGGTATGAGCCTTGTGGGTTTGGCCTTGGTCCACTTGCTGTTAAGTTAGTTCTGCAATACCCAACCATGAACACATTAACATGTCTAGTTTTATAAGATGGTGTGCATTTCAAATGGAAGAAAATTAGTACAATTCTTTATTGATTTGAACGTGAATTAGAAATCTAGTACAATCAACTAATTTCCTTTTATTTTTCTTTTGAGATTTTTATCCTAGGATATGAAAAATAAATTAGTTGTAGTTTAAGTTTATATTTATCAACATTCATATCTAAATCATAAACTATTTATTCTATATATATATGTCTGTGTATATATTATTTTAATGTGATTTGATCGGACCTAAATGTGTGCACTTTCGGTAGGAGACCCTACCGTAGAAGGGCCCTATTTTTTTGAAATTTCATGATTTGATTTAGACTGCTAGTGCAACAACATATAATTAGAGACTGAAAGATGGTAAATGAACAAGGTACCTAATAGAACGAGCTTGATTCAGAGACCAATCAACCTCGATAGTGGGCCCACCAGGAATTGGGCCAGAAACTTGACGGGCTGAGTTGCTGTAGTGAAGGATGGCCGTGGTGGTTTGGACCTGGTTGGTGAAGCGGGTTGACACCACAATGTAATAGTCCTGTGGGGCCTTGTCAGCTGTGACCAGCACGGAATATGATTGGCCCACGTGGATATCAAGGGACGAATAGTTGGTCTGGACAGAGTGGGTCCCCTCAACTTCGACCAGCGTCATGTTGTGTCCTTGAATCCTGAAGTTGAGCGAATTTTGGAGCCCAACATTTGATATCCTAAGCCTGTATGTTTTACCTGTAACAACAAATAAACGAATATAAACCTCGGACCTTAAAAAAACCGAACTGAATTAGTATTTCCTATGCACTTGAAGCTTTTTTTGCTTAAAACAAATTACCCGGTTCAAATGTGAAAGTTGTAGTGCTGTTGGGTCCACGGCCATTGATTAGAAGTCCATCTGGGTTAGGAAGCCTGCGACCACCATCTAGAATGGCCTTCAATCTCTGTTTTTGCATAGGTGCGAAACAGCAACCTTTGTTAAGTGACGCAAAATCTCAATATTTAAATCTTATTAAGATTAGATTTTCATGACAGAGCTCTGTTTTGAAGCATCAAATTTATATCAAGTACTTTATGTCAGTTTTGTATACACACTCTTTTTTTTTTTTTTTATTATTTTGATATAACTTTAACTGAATTTGTCAATTATTTTGATATCGTAAAGAGTTACGATGGTAGTTGATATTGTAAGATAATCAATAAGTACCTGGTTGTCAGTCTTGTACCAATCTCCAATGAGGATAGTGTAATCCCCAGCTGGATCAGGAAAAGGGACAGGAATTCTAGGTCTGCTGAGTATTCTAATGCCTCCAAATCCACCAGCAGCCTTGTGGAAGGCAAGAGAAGGATAGTAGAAAAAGCTTCCAATTTGATCTTTCATCTGTAGTTTGTAGGTGAAGTTCTTGCCTGGTGGGATGGGGCATGTTGTTCCATAAACTCCATCTTGGTAAGAATTTTTCCTATTTTGTACCCCATTCCTGTTTTATTTAATTTTTTTTTATAGCAGTCAAAATATTAAAAAAAAACTCAGTATATAACAGAAGTGGTAAACAAATTAAGCATGCAAACTAGAAAATGTAATATAAAAGTCTTACTGCATCTAGAAGATTAGCCGTGAAATTTTGCATGTGGTTTTAGTGCCACATGGCTAAACAATTAGCATTATTTTGGTCAAAGGGAAGTGGGGTAACATGATAGAGAAGGCCCGCGTTTCTTTTCCATAAAACAATGCCAGACATTACTTAAGAAAAAAAAAATTACAGCCTGTTGGAGGGCTGCCCTGAATCCTGATCATTGACGGTTGACCTAAGATATTTGGCGCCAAACTGAAAACAGTTCCAGCTATTTTATTTATACGAAAAGATTTCTCAAAGTCAAAGATGCTAGATCTTCACACAAAAACTGTGTGGCATCATTTGCTTTGCGGATTTGAGTTTTCAATTCAAATTGAGATATGACAATTTTTAAAAGCTTTTAACTGTAGTAAAAAAAATTAAATGTGACATTTTATGAGGTCTATGCCTATTTAGTATTAAAACTATGCCTATTTGTTATTACATTCGTCACTACCTAGCTTACAACTAATTTCAAAAAACCAAGATATTGCTTCACAATTTCTATTTCTGAAAAATTATATACAGAAAGAATCAATAAATAGGAACTGGACTTAAACCCAGATCAATATTTTTGCATGAAAAAACTCGTATTATTATTAACATAAGATAAAATGAAGCCTGATCAATAACCGAACTGGTGCTATATATATACACACAATTTTTGCATCTTAATTATGATCTCTTTGCTCTTCATATTATTCACAAGAAGCATTATGCATTGACTCACAAAAGTCAAAGGTTGAGAAGGCATATATATATGAGAGTAGGTTTAAGAAATTGCTCTCACCATGATATAAGGAAAGGCTCTGGCAAGCTGTTAAAGACATTGATAATGAGGTTGTCGTTGGTAACCGAGTAAATTTCCGGACCCGGAAATTGACCGTTTATAAGAATTCCCTGCCACAAATTTAAAAAAAAAAAAAAATCAATACTAATTACATAATGTTATTAAAGCCAAAAGAGAATAGCATTAATATTTTCCTTTTAGGAATGAAGAAACTTTGAAAACAATTGGTGAATATATATTTACACATATATATATATATATGTAAATAAATATATATTGTATGAATGTATAGAGTGCTATACGTACCCTTTGACGGAGTAAATAAAAATATATATTGTATGAATGTATAGAGTGCTATACGTACCCTTTGACGGACACCGAGAGGATAAATATCGCCATAAGTGATATTCCAGTTGAAGAACCTGTAAGGGTCCTCAGCGCCAACAAGACCCAAAACCAAGAGAATGAGAGCAAAGTGCCGTACAGCAATTCCTAAAGAATATTTTAGCATCATTGCCGAATAATAATGAGAGAGAGGAAATTAAGGTGGTGGGAAATAGAGGAAAAAGATGGAGTAAGTACTACTGACGAAAGGGAATGAGCCAAACACTTTAATATATAATTATATATGGTGGTATTAAGGAGTTTATACATTGTGTGACACTGCATATTTTTGAAGTGCAAGCAAAACAAAGGAAGGATCGAAGAAGGCAAGCAACTAGAGCACACGATCAATGAAAGCAAACATAAAATAATTGAGGTTAATTATTTATTTATTATAAAAAAAGAATGGGAAAATGATGAACTGGGTATTGGTTGGACGTGGTGTGAATGTGATGATGTGGTGAGGTCGTTAACTCGTTGTAGCGGTGATGGGTCGCACCTTAAAATCGTTGCTTTTTGTATTTTTGCCCATGAACTCATTCTATTAGCATATTAGACCATTTTTCTGATATTTGTTTAATTAGTCCTTTTTCTTTATGTGTTTCTGTTATGCCAGCTGTGTAGCTGAAAAATATTCTAGAGGAACTTAGTTAGCTAATAAATTTTGAGACGCTCGTTAAGGTCGATTTGAGTTTTTAATTTGAATTCATATGTGACTTTATGTGAGAGTATTTAATTGTAGTAAAAAAAGTTAGATGTGACTTTTTATAAGAACTTTTAATTGAACTAAAACAGAAATTAAAAACTTAAATCGGTAAAATAAACGAGACCTATATATATTCGGTCGTACCTTCTTTTTCAGTAACGTACGCCTTCCCTTTTCTATTATATTTTTCTGATATTCTTCAATATGTAAACATCCATTACAATCCTTTCGGGGAAAAAAATGCATTACTATTATAATGTGAAGATAACATTTAAAAATGTTAAGGTGACAGTGACCATATCTAGAATGAGTTATTAGAGATAAATTTGTTGTTAATTACCTATTGAAGATTTTGTTTTTGTTTTCATTCAGAATTTTAAAATATTTTATATTGTAGTTTAATATTATTTTTTAAATGTTGCGTTCAAGAGGAAGTGATTGGAAAATTCTGATATTTTAGTGGAAATTAGTTATGACTATTATGTTGAAAACACGCCATCTTAAAATTCTTGTTCTTACCCTAAATGATTTTGAGAAACTTAAATTTTCCGGTAAAATTATTTTAAAGCAATGGCATGAAACAATAACTGAATGAAAAATATATATATATTTTTTTAAAAATCAATCCAAATGAAAAGTACCAAATAAGTTGTATGTAGGGCACTAATTTGATATATTTGATTCTAAATATCAAATGGTTAAACGAGTATATTAAGATAAATACAAATATATACTAAAAAGTAATATATATTAGTTTTGGTATATAATTTAACTCTCTCTCTCTCTATATATATATATATATTAAAATGGATAGAGATATATACCAAGAAATTACTCTATTTTAATTCAAAATGACATGAATGCCCTGGTTATGGTAGTAAACCGCGTATATGCTATACATCACGTGCTTTGTTGGATAATTCATATGTAATGTCCGAGATTTCGGACTCAACACATGGTATTTTTCGTATCCCTAGTTTTGTTTTATAAGAAAATCAAAAGTGTCCCTGCTTTTCTTATATGCAAGCAAACGCGCCAAAACGCCCACTTGTATTCCTTGTCAAAGGGAAAAAAATGAAAAAAAAAAAAAGAAAAAAAAAAGAAAAGGAAGCGTCATGGTTTGGATCTTGCGTAGTTTGACTTTCAACTTACCAATGACAGAGCTGGCACGGCCAACAACAAAGGACATGAGACCGATAAGACATGGAAAAGAGAATTACGTTAAGAACAATACCAGGAGAATAAAAATAAGGGCTAATAACTCTGTTAGTCCTTGAAATTTTAGTATAGTGATATTTTGGTTTTTAAACTTTTAATTTAGATATATTTAATTTTTAAATTTTCATTTTTTATAATTTTAGACCTAACAATAAAATTAATGAACGATTTTTAAAATTTATTAACCTAGATAATCACATCATTATCGCATACAGAACAAAACATTTTACATAAAGAGTTACAGCATGTCCAAAACAATATTGTTTTTAATAGGTTTTAATAGTAACAAACAGAAAATTTTACATATAACGTAATTCTGTACGTAAAATTTTAAACTATCACATGATGAATACGTGTTTTGTTCTTTGTTAAATTTTAAAAATCGTCAATTTTACTGTCATGAACTAAAACTGTCAAAAATATAAAAGTTCAGAAACTAAATATGTTTAAATTAAAAAATTTAAGGACCGAAATGTCATTATACTCAAAATTTAGAGACTAATAGAGTTATTAGCCCAAAAATAATAGTATGAGAACTACATATTACTGAATGGTTTTAATTAAACTTGGGGATTAAATGGATTTATAGCTTAAAGCTTGGTGAACGCGGAAACTATATGTATCGTATTTATGTAGAACATATATGTAAGATACACTTTTTGATTTCTTAAGGGACGTTCTTATGTTTCTTTTCCTTGGTTAACATGTATACCGATGACGGCTGCAATTTTCTGCTTTCATCTTGACTGAGAACACAAATTATCGCTCATCATGAAGATTGTGGTGGGGCGATGCGTAGAAATAAATTGTTGAGGACATCAATAAATGGTTTTAGCAACAATGTTAGGAATATCATTGATGGTTTTACGAACAATGGATTCATTTTCTATATTTAATTGTGAATCTTGGTGCCATTGATGATTCTAAAGTTTTTTTTTTTTTTTTTTTCCTTTTTTCAAATAGCAGGACTTATAAATAGGATTTAGTTGACTAACATGTATGGGAATTCGATGCAGAATAATATTAGTATAAATGGGATTTTATTATATGTTACTGATCCATTGACTTTATGTCAAAACTTTTTGCTGACAATCTGGATCACATGTAAGAGGGGACTATAGTAAACTACTATATCCTATATATATATATATTGTCAATCAACAGTACTACGTTTCCCCATTTGTTACCAAGAACTTATATTAAAGCAGACAGATTAAAGGGATTGAAACAACTGTATGTCGAACCAATTGCCAGTACATTCTGTCCAAGTCGTTTTCTTTACAAGACGCAAATAAAGTGCCCACAATCAGGCTTTACAAATGTTAAGCCGAGATGGACCATGTAAAGAAACACAACCGAAATTCTCATATATATATATATATATATATTAGCAACTCAATAACTATAATACATGGATTTTTTTTTTTTTGGTGACTAATAACTATTATACATGCATGCACAATAAGACATCTAACACTTACAGCAAACTTATTTAACAGTGACTGGATAGAGGACGTGAAGGGAACGAAACTCATAAGAACATAAATCTGATAATATATATATATTAGCAACTCAATAACTATAATACATGGATTTTTTTTTTTTGGTGACTAATAACTATTATACATGCATGCACAATAAGACATCTAACACTTACAGCAAACTTATTTAACAGTGACTGGATAGAGGACGTGAAGGGAACGAAACTCATAAGAACATAAATCTGATAAAATATTACCAGCAATATTATTGTAAAGTTTGTGGAGCTCTAATCACATCAAAGCTTTTGAAAATTACTCCCCCCACATAAAAGAGGGGGAAAAAAGGAGCTGAATAAGGGTCGTTTAAAATTTTGATGGCAAAATAATAGGAACCAGCAAAATAACTTTTTACTACCATAAAAATTCCGTATTTTATGATATATGCGCTGCTCAAATCTCAACCATTAAATAATAAAAAGAAACAATATGACTCGTGGATTTTTCTTTTTTTTGCATCTTGTAATGTAGCAGCAACTAATCTTTTTTTTTTTTTTTTTCTTTTTTCCTAAACTATTCATATTGTTTCTTTTCATCATCCAGTAACTAATAAACTTGTAGAGAACTTTCAAGTTGTATATAACCTTGTGATCCGTCTTGTACCAATTGCCAATGAGGATTCTGTGGTCAGCCGCGGGTTGAGGAAAAGGGACAGGAATTTGGGGCCTGCTGAGGAAGCCACCGGCGGCCTTGTGGAAGCCAAGAGAGGGAAAGTAATAGAAACTTCCGATTTGATCTTTGGCCTGTAATCTGTAGGTGAAGTTCTTGCCCGGTGGGATGGGGCAAGTTGTTCCATAAACTCCATCTTCAAAAGAATTTTTCCTATTTTGTAATCCGCTCCTTCAAAAAAAGAAAAAAAAAGAGCAATAAAATCATCAGAAAATATATATTACGGCCTCATTCATTTTATTGATTTAAATTTTCAATTCTTTTGTTCTTTTACAACAAAATTCAAAAAAATCTTAAACTCGAGTTACAATTTTATTTAAGTTCATATTCTTTTGTAAAATTTGACTTTGAACTCGAGTTTAGGTCTAAACTCGAGTTCAAGTTTTTATTTCAACTCAAGTTCAGAAACTCGAACTCAAATTAATGAATAATATTTTTTCTATTCTTAAAAATGTCATAACTTTTTCGTTTTAATTCTGATTGAGATGATTTTTTTCTATGCATTCACAACGAAAAGATGAATAAAACTCAACCCATATACCCTATTAAAATTTTTTATCACCATTGAATTTTTATTAAAATATTATCTAAATATAAATTTAAGTTTTGACTCACCTAAACACAAACTCAAAAAGATTTTCAATTCAAATTATAACTCAAATGTGTACATCTAAACACAAACTCTACATTGAATCATGGGCTTAATTTTGATCTCATGATGATGTGTCTCGAAGAAAATAAGACAAAAGCTTAGTACGTAGTTTCAATGTAACAATTAGCATCCAAACAGTACATAAGCGTGCATACGTGAAAATTAAATTCATTAGCCAAAAAAAAAAAAAAAACTTGAAATTTTTTTTAAAAAAAAATCTAGTTATTCGATGCATACATTTGAAAAAATAAAATAAAATAAAGGCAACAGCCTGTTATGAGCAGGCCTCCATGAAAGCTGACCTAAATCTCTCTAACAAGCACGAAATTGAAAGTAGTTCCGGCCAATATTAATTAATGTGTCCATGCAAAGAAATTTTCGAGGTCAAATTTATGTGACGAGACACTAAAACCTTGGACAGAAAGTTATGCCAACACTCATTCTTTTCATTATATGTTTATTTTAAATTACGTACCAACTTCATGTCAACCACATAAAACGTATAGCTAGATAAAATAGAAAATAAGGATAATATTTATCACCTTATTCTTCGGAATTTACATGTAAAGTTGTAATAAATTGAAAAGGGTGTTGCAGTAATTATTTATATTGATATATAACACTACTCAATTTGCAAAAATGGCGACTTTGGCAAGAAAGAAAAATGAAGAAGAGCAATCACCATGATATGAGAAAAGGCTCCGGTAAGTTGTTATGGACATTGACGATAAGGTTATCGTTGGTAACCGCGTATATGCCAGGTCCCGGAAATTGACCATTTATGAGAATTCCCTGCCACAAAATGAAGGAAATTAATACGTACATTTTTTTTTTGTTTTTTAGGGAAATATTTTATTTCTGTTAATCAAGGAAAGTATTCAAAAACTGAATAATTCAATATATAGTATATACAAACCCGTTGGCGAACACCGAGAGGATAGATATTACCGTAGGTAACATTCCACTCCATGAACCTGTAAGGATCCTCAGCTATAACGATACCCAAAACTAAAAAGATGGCACTTAAGTGCCAAATTATGGAGTTTCCTTTACCAATTATAAGCTGCATTTTGATATTTTTCTGAGAAAGTGATATATAGTGGGGGGTTTGGAATAAGGAACTAAAGGAAGGAATGAGACACTTTAATATGGCTAAGAGGCAAAGGACTTTGACACATATATATGGTGCAAAACATAGGAGAGGTCAGACACCAAATAATGTAATGATTAATAAAAAAAAATACATATAAAATAGTAGAAATAATAAGCCTAATTTTAAATATGAATTTGGTGTACACTGGTTAGATAGTGCTTAAAACATGGTATTAGTATTTTAGGTTTTTCGTTTTTCTTTTTTTTTTTTTCCTTTTTTTCTTGTAGCTAGCCAAAGTGGCATGATACAATGAAAGAAAATAAAAGATCAGGCATCTGAATTTCGGGATCTTGCGAACTAGTTTGACGTTCACTCTATCAATGGTGCAATTGCCATCTTTTGTAGCCCCACAACTAAGGACGGAAGAGAGAAAATGAGAGATGCATGCATGCATGAAAGGCGGACAGATAAATCGAACAAAACTACTTTGGGAAAATAATAATATATAACTTAAAAAGTACGCAGATTTAACGGTTAAAAAAACTTAACCTACCAATACGTCAGGCATACTAGAAAATCTCTCTAATAGTAATAGTTTTGGGTGGAACAATTTTTTTTGAAATTTATCCCTAAACTTTGAGCCTTCTAACCATGTGCTATTCTTTGAGAATTTTAAAATGTAACTTCTATTCCAGAAACTTCAAAACTACAACAAAATTGGTTTTTTTATGGGAGATTCTCTATTTCGCCTGGTGTACCGATAGGCCAAGATTTTTAACCATTAAATCTGCGTACTTTTTAACTTTTATGTGATTTTATTCAGATGCAATGGACAAAAAACCTGACCTATTTGTGTGTTGGCATACCAGGGAAAGTTTTTTTTTATTAACTCAAGGATAAGAAGTCAAATTATTAACAAAATACAAGGTTATGACAAAGAAAATTTAACTTGATCTAAGTACCAGTTATATTGTTATGGTTTATGGTTTTGGAAGTTTGGGGAGAATGAATTATGCTTATTAAAAGTTTTAATGTAATGAGCTTGAAATCATAAACTCTAATTTTTATGAGAAAAATTATAGGAAATAGGTTTGTATTTAAAATTTATGAAAGTAAATGGCTAATTTATTAATGTATAGAAATTAATAGACCATTTTATGTTTTTAATTTTCTAATTTTACCTTTTTGTTGTTTTTTTCTTTTCCGTTCCTTTAGTAAATTCAAGTATATCTAGAGTTTATCAAATTAAAATCACTTGAAAAAGAATAGTACAAATTCTAATAGTAAATCTAAGATTTACCAACACTACAACAAATATCAACATCAGTAGCAATCTAAAAACACTATTAATCACTAAAAATAGCACTTTTTAAAGCGCTAGGACAGCGGGCGCTATTATAAGTCTTAAGAAAACATAACGTCTCAATATAGTTAAAGAAAGCGCTATAGAATTGAAATATTATAGCGTTTAAGACAAGCTATTTTCATCCTATTACAGCTCTTTAACATAGCTATGATACAGATTAATAACTTTTTTTCCTTATTATATTCATACTCTTGTAACTTTTTAAAATTATTATTGATATCCTTTTCAATTCATGCAAATAAATGGTAATTCTGAAATATGTGATATATCTAAATAGGAACATTCAAATTAAAACATAAAAACATTTAACATATTAATTGTTATCAGTATCTACCAAGCTAGCAATAAAATTACATCTACAACATAATTCATACAATGTCCAAAACCTTAACATTCAAAACAAGTAAAGAAAACAAAGAAGTCATCTCCAAAACGTCTAAGTGCAATGGTGAATTAAATCCTTCCATCTTGACAAAATGCTTCAACAAAAAAGTCATCTCCACTGTTTAACCTGTAAAAAAGTGATCCAATATCAAAACAATAATCTAACTCAACTAAAACTTTTACCATTTAACTTGTAAATAAAGTAAGGACTAGTTACACTATTCACAACTACATAGCCACATCCACATATGTTTTGCAATGAGTTAGAAGAAACATAGCTTCAATGATGCACTAGACAAAAATTTAGTGTCAAATTTGTATTAAAAACTACTTAATTGCATTAAAAACTACCAATTTGTTGCTAAATCTAACCTGTTCAAGAAAGATTTGTGACGGACGTGAAGAGTGCAAGGCTTTTCCCCGTTCTTACTCTTACAAGAGGCCACAAAATTTAAGATTTTTTTACGGCACTGCAGCAATCAACATCAAAATTCATTTAAACCGTAGGCAATTTAGAAAATTGGCTACCAAAAAAAAAAAGATCAAATCGTAAAGAAAAATAAGAAGAAAGAAAGGAAAAAACCTAGTGACAACTCCTGCAGAAAACCGTTCAGCAAAGTAAAGCAAAACAAAATAGCAAAAGAGCAAAGAAAACCCAAACCAAAACAAGCAAATTAGCAAAACCAAAACTAATCATAAATATAAGCCTCTGCAAATCAATTCCATTCCAACAAATCCTCCAAATCAAACGCATAGTTACACCCCTCAAAGAAAACCAACCTATTATTCGCATCTTGGCACCTAGAGATCACTTTCTCCGGTGACATATCCCCCTTGTTCAATTTCGCACATAGTAGGCTTAGAAATGTGTAATGGCCCTCATCGTCTCCTTATGAAGCATTATCCTAGACTATGACATAGTTTGCTACCAAGGTTTAGCATCACTTTAGCATAATGTAAAGTTCTCACTTCACTTTCAATAAGCCAATTCTCCATATAAGGTCACTTATGAACATAGTTTATACACCAATATGCCAAGAGTTTTTGCATAAACCGGCAACCAACAATTATCACACCATTGAAAATCACTCGACATAAGGATCCACGGCCTCCAAACACATATTAATCATGGCATTTAAATTTCATACCATAAGCGGCCATGTATATATTTTTTATGTAAGGAATGTGTGGTGGCCTTAAGGCTCCACGTATGGAGCAAACTTCATAGGCAATGACAATTACGCTACTAAGATTTAGCTAACTTCAACATATTGGTGGGGATGACCGTTAGAGTGAAGCAAAGCATACTTACCAAGGAGTTTTAAACTGAAAAGGTTTAACAATATTCCAAGTGAAATAGTATATACCAGCAACACATTGTTGTCATAACTTCAAATATCACTCGACATAATGAACTAGGCCATAATACACAAATTAAACATCATAGCCACAGTGTATATGTACCTGGTCAAAAATTGAACTAGGCCATAATACACAAAAGGTCATGATAAAATAATAGAGGTAAGACCTCTGAAAATTAAGAACCCTACCTGGGAAAATTCAGTGGCATCCTCCGAAAGTCCAAGATTATGCTTTCTCCGAATAAGACCAGCGGGACTACTAATACAACTTTGTACTCCTTTGTGACCTCTCAAGCTATTAAATGGTCTAGGATGGTGACACCTTGATATTATGACTCTCAAATCCTAGAATCCAAGAATCAGCTTGCTCTTTGTCCTTGCATATCTATATAGGAAAAGTCGAAAACAAAAATGCTCAATTTGTAGCTGATGAAATGAATATGTTACTTAAACTCTGGTTTATATAAGGCTCAATTTTTCAAGAGAAAAATCCTACTTGTGAATGTTAAATTATCTATAACTAAATGACATGAGAAATGAGATTGTTTGATTCTCTGTTTGTTTGTTAGCGTGCTCAAATCATAAAGTAATAGCAGTGTGAACACATATTATCCCTGCTGACTACACCAAGTATGCGCCTTTAACTTTACGCATTAAGTCTTGTGCTTTTTGCTGAAACCAAAGCAAGATTTTCCGGCTTAATCAGTGTAAATCAAAAGTAACAATTAGGGTGAAGTGTAAGACTTGTTACACCAACCGTTTAATGTTTGCTTACAAAGTTTCCGTATCTAAGAAATTAGTTTTTCATGAAATTGTGCATGTTGGATGACATCAAATTGGATGTTTGACTAACAAAATGATCTGCTAGTACTACACCAAAATAATATGTCTCATGATTAACTCACAAAGAGTCTTCTTAATTCTTGAATTGTAACATGCCTACCGTAGAAAGCCGGAAAGGACAAAACTTGGGCTTCCCCTTCTTCCACATTTCAAAAGATATGCACCCTTCTTTATGGAAAGTATTGCCTGCAGATTCAGAAACAAATTCTTTTAGAGAAAAAGATAAAAGAAAGAAAAGCAAAGCAAGGTCCATTCTCATGAATAATATTCATGATTAGCAAAAGTTTATATTATGATGATATATAAACAGCATCGATTCTCAATATTGGCAACCAAATTGTTCCGAAAATTTAGAGAGTTTCTCATGTAATTTACATGTAAATACTAACCTTGATTGACAATTGCAGAAAAAGATCAAAGTCCAAAATCACTCATACTCTGTTTCCACACATTTGTTAAGAAAGCGCAAAAAAAAAAAAAAACATAAGACAGAAACTACAAGAAACGCCCTTCATATTGCAACAACTATTTAAAATCAATATCACAAGCAATCAGATCTACCGAAACTACGGATTGGGAAATCAATAACATAAAAGATTAACAAAAATTTCCTTCAAAATCACAAGCAATCAGATCTACGGATTGGGAGAAAATATGCACAAACGCAATCCTCAGGACGTTTTTTGTTTTTGCCCTATAACTGAAACCAATGGACTGAAACAGAAATCCGCCATTAAAACACAACGTCGAATGAAACGAAGAGAATTACCAAATTTCTAATTAGGTACAATCGAAAGCCCGAATCTTTGGGGGCGAACCTGTTCACGAGAAGAAGGAGATGCAAAGGGGAAGCAGAGGCAAGAAGGCGTAGGACTGCTCGTACTCGTAGCCACACTGGGCAATCCGGATGAAGTAGACGCTGTCCCAGACGATGCTGGACTCGATTGCGGACGCCAAAGAAGGCGCTGCTCTTGAGGCGGCGACGAGGTGGGGTTGGTAAGGCAATTAGGGTTGAGCGGCGCGAAGGTGTCATAGAGGCTTCGAGTGAAAGAAGAGGGCCTCAGGGCTTTTTCCTTTCGGTGACTAAAAAGCCCTAAGAGTGGGAATTGTTCCAAGTTGAAACTTGTGGAGAAGCGGGCAGAGCAAGAAAATCTCTCATGTTTGGTTCACCGCGTGAGAAGAGTTTAGTAAGTAAATGGGATTCGACAGATTAGGGGAAGAGGCGAATGAGGTTTTTTTTTCTCATGTTCAGTTCGTATGGGATTCGGTAGAGTGGTGGAAGAGGGGAAAGCCAAATCAGACCAAAAAAAAAGAGGGAGGAGCGGGAGTTTTAAAATTTCCGCGAAAAAGGGGAGTGAGAATTTTGAGATTTAAAAAAATATATTTTCACTACCCGCCCAATATCAATCTAACGTGTACATTAATATATATTTTAAATATATATACAATAAACCAGCTAAAATTTCATGAACTTTTAATATAAATATATATAAATATTATAACTATTTATAAACGCTATTATATATAGACGATATAACGTTTTTTTAAAAACGCAACTAACCGTTATAAAAAGTCTATTATGGTGTAGTGTAAGTTCATATTATTAGGGAAAAATGTATAATTTTTAATGGTAAATTCTATATATATATTTGGTAAATTCAAGATTTATCAAGTTCGTATTAATAGTAAAAATTAAAAAAAAATCTAATGGTAAATTCCAGATATACCTGGTAAATTTCAGAGTTACTAAGTTCATATTAGTAAGGGAAAAGAACATTACAAATTCTAATAGTAAATCCTGAATATACTTGGTAAATCTCACACTACAAATTCTAATAGTAAATCCTAGACACAACCCGATAAATTTTAAATTTACCAAGTTCATATTAGATGGAAAAAAGTGAAAAATCTAATAGTAATTCCAAATATACATAGTAAATTTAGGATCTATCAAAATTGTATTTTTAAAATTTCAACCGGTTATAAATCTAAATTTACATTACATTGGCTTATTTATTAACTTTTTTAAACATTAACTTATTAATTTTAATTCCTCTTTAACTTATTTCCCTCAGCGTACCTAATGAGACATTCTCATCTTTTTTTTTTTCTTTAAATAATATGGGAATGAACCCGACACGCAATCTCTTCCAAACCCTATCCCACTACAGATGCCACTAGATCAAGCGATCTTAGGCCATTTTGAGTGCATAGAAGACTAACCATGAGTAGAAGACAACGCTGAGTGCAGTAATAATTAACTATAGGAAAAAAAAAAGTATTTTTTTAAAGGGAAAACAAATATATATATAGGTTTTAAGGAAAATGGCAGAGAAGACTAACCATGAGTAGAAGGCAACGCCGAGTGCAGTACTAATTATTATTTTTGTTTTTCTAAGGTATACTAGCATGAGGGCACGTACCTTCTTTTGCCTTAGTTTTTTTTTTTTTTTTTTTGTATTAATAAAAAATAGAGGGTGAAGTAACATTAAATTTATTAATTAATATTGATATTGATATTAAACTGTTAATTATGAGTCTAGTTTAATGAATGTTAAAGTCTAATTAATATTAACATATTATTACCAATCAATAAAAATCAACTAACAAATATACTTTTAATATATTAACCTAGTATATTACTCTTAAATCCAACTACTTGTAACATATATAGCATTATCAATCAATCAAAATCAATTAACAAATTGTACTTTTAATATATTAACACAATATATTACTCATAAATTATTGTATTGATATGACAAAATCAAATGATAATATTAAAATTTAGAAATGCTAAACAAATAAAATTAAAAAAGAGAATAAGATGAAATAAAATTTTAAAAATATATATATTTTTTTTTTTTGCTGAACAGAAAATAAACAAACAAGGTTGAATTGTAGGGAGTAAGCTGAGGCGGGAGAAAATAAATAAACTACGTGTCTGAATTTGGATCATTACATTCAAAGTTTATAAAGAAATGAGTGATATATGAACCATTGAATTACTTGGTTGAAGTATAAAAAAGTGCAACTCGACTCTTCCTTCTTTACATTCTATTCTAGACGATAAGGTTGACTGACACTTGAAGGAATCACAAGAAGAATCAGTTTATGGAATGCACGGCATGATACCAAATAATGAGTAGGCCATATTAGTTTTCGTTATTTTCCAGAGCATGGTTAATATTACCAAATGATATCTAGGCAATATTATTCCTTTTCTTCTTCTTTATTCTTTAATGGTGGAGATGAGATGATGTATTGGTAGAGGATTTTGAGTTAATAATTCTTCTTGCCATAAAACTCACAAAGTCGCAACTAATGAGAATTGAGAGGTGCTGCGCACGTTGTTTTAATGTCCTTTCCTCCCCAGTCCCCACATCTTTTTGAGTTAATTAATCTTATTGTTGTCAATTATGTGCAGTTTCACAATATCTTAATACGGTTGGTAGTCAAATGGTATTGTCTTACCATTTAATCAGTACCAAAAATGTGAGCATTCTAGCAAGGAAACTAACTGATGGCAAAAGTCTTAAGCAAACTTTTAGGGCCTGTTTGATTGCATATTTGATTATAAGAGATAATAATTGATAAATAAAGGATAAACGGTAGAATCTGATCAAGAAACATAATATGGAGATCCTCTCCTTTCATTTATTTTTGACATAACTAAGAATAAAGCTTTAAGTATATGGAAATTGATAATAAAAAAAAATGGTTATGATTCTTTTAGAACCTGAACGATTATAAGTATTGTGATGATTTGGCCATTTAACTGCTTTTAATAGAAAGATTAGTCATCTTTTTTTTTTTTCTTTGGACGATTTTAGTGCCCCCTCAAATTTATTATGAAAATTTGAAATTTGAGATAACTATATGTATTCATCGTCCTTCAAAATTGGATAGGCATTTTGTCCTTAGAAATCTTGAAAATCAGATCATTTTGCACAACTATATCTATCCATTAGAAAAAAAAAAAAAAAAAAAAAAAAATGTCAGCCTTAATTTCCCTTGCTATGAGACATGAAACTGTATGAAATCAATAGTTAATCGGGGCACATATTGCCAAACGAAGAACAATCATGACCCATGATAGGATTTGGGAAGCCAATCTACTTGACAGGAAACTATTGGGCTTTTCGGATTATATCTTTGTCCGACAATGTGATATGGATCTCCAAGGTTTGGTTTGTTCAACATTGTTTTGGTCTAAGTACATAGAAACACAATTCCAGGAAAAAAAAAAAAAAAAAAAAAGTTTATAGAAACAAAAACTAAGCAACACACAATACAGGAACACACAAGATAATCATAAAATGGTAAATAAGTTACTTAAATTAACTTATTGCCAAAAGGTAAATTTTTACATATAACATACAAAGTGAATGGTAAAGAATTACTATAATTGGTGTCATTAACTTATGAATGTAATGGTTAACACTCTGTATAGATTAAGCTGCAGCTTTTTTACAGAGGTTCAGAGACTGCCATGCTTTGGCCAACAGCTCTTCCACAGAGAAGGGCATTTTGGGGAATGAGATATTCATCTCTTGTTGAGTTCACAGGTGTATAAACTCGGAGATAAAACTGTTGCCCAAGGTACTGCCTTGCCCAAAACTCACTCCTTATATTCCACATTCCCACGTTATCAAGTGCTACATAAATAGCCGTCCAAGACCTTGGGTAAACCTGTAACACCAAAAAAAAAAAAAAAAAAAAAAATGTTTAGAGCAAAGCTAAAAATCTAATTTAATAAAATAATCAAGAAATTAAAAGTAACATACTTGTGTGGTACATCTTGAAACTGCATCTTCAAGATTGTACTGTTTTCTACTAGCCGGGGTCCATTGTCCTCCATCCATTCTGAAATTATTATCACAAAATTATGAGCGAAAACTTGTGAAGGAGATCAATTGTAACTCAAACAAAGAAAAAAAAAATCAAATTCTTGAATTGAAGACTTACCCAACAACCCAAAAGTTGTATCCGTTAAGGTGATAACTTTGGACAATGTTTTCACGGTTTTGGAAAACAATCTCAACAAAGGATCTGTAATCAGCACCCATGACCGATGTGTCGAGGTACATTTTTTTGCGAGGGGGCTTATCTGCTATGCTTCCAACACGAAAAACGCCTCCAATTTTGAAATAGTCCGCGAGCTTAAGGGGCGTGTCAGCAGGGACGAAAGACACACTGTTAATGCCATATCTTTGCTTCCTATTAACTAGAGCTGCCGAGCTCTCTAGTATTATGGTCCTTGAAATGTTTATCTGACCATAGTGGTATGAGCCTTGTGGATTTGGCCTTGGTCCACTCGCTGTCAAGTTAGTCCTACAATGCACAAAATAAATTTAAAAAAAGGTTAAAAAAATATATATATTTCAGGAATGTTTTATTGGAGCACCATCAATGTACTGTTAAAATTGGCGTGTTAATGCTAAAAATTTTAAAATTTAAATAGGAAAACTATTCGGTAATGTAGTGCTACTTTTTTTTTTTTTTTTTTTTTTTTGGTGTTAAATCTGGCAATATGATATACTTGGTATCAAAACTAACTCTATAGCATATGCCAGAGAATAATATTTTTAGCTTTATATTTAAGCATTATAATATTGTCATTTTCAAATTATTTTGAAACTAAAATTTTGCAGTTTAACAAGTATAGTAAAAAAAAAAAAATAGATATAACATTTGAAATAGTATTATGTATGGGAGCACAACTATATTAAGAATAACATTTTTGACAATTTATGTTGAAGAGGGTACCTGATAGAACGGGCCTGATTGAGAGACCAATCGATTTCAGTAGTAGGGCCACCAGGGATTGGGCCTGAAACTTGACGAGCAGAGTTGCTGTAGTGAATGATGGCGGTGGAGGGGAGGACCTTATCGGTGAAACGGGATGAGACTGCAAAGTAATAGTCTTGTGGGGCCAGATCAGCTGTGACAAGCACCGAATAGGATTGGCCCACGTGGACGTCAATCGACGAATACGTGGTCTGGATTGTGTGGGTCCCTTCTACTTCAACTAACTTCATCTTGTGTCCCTGAATTCTGAAGTTGAGCGAATGTTGTAGCCCAACATTTGATATCCGAAGCCTGTAGGTTTTACCTGTAACATTAAACGGAACAAGAATAAATAAACATCATTGGAAGTTATTTCATGTACTAGGTTGCAGTTTTAGCCTTGTGATCCCCTGCATGTATCAACAAAATTGTGATACATAAAAATAGGATTTTTATGTCATCGAAAAAATGCATTTTTTGAGATTCATAAAATAAATCATTAAGAAATGAATTATTAAAAAATAGTCTTGAGTTAAAACATAAGGGGGAAAAAGAAAAAAGAAAAATACTTTATGTTAAAAAGAAAATAAAATTACCTGGTTCAAATGTGAATGATGTACCGCTAGGTCCGCGGCCATTGATTAGAATACCATCCGGGTTAGGAAGCTTGTGACCACCATCTAGAATGGCCTTCAATTTCTGAAAATGTTGAAAACAAAAAAAATTAACACATGACATATTATGGGGTTGGTTTGTCTATTTGAGTAATTAGTTCATCATTAGAAATTGTGGAGACACAAATTGTCCAAATTAAGTACCTGGTGGTCAAGCTTGTACCAATCTCCAATGAGGATAGTGTAATCGCCGGCGGGATCAGGGAATGGGACGGGAATTCTAGGCCTGCTGAGGATTTTAATGCCTCCGAACCCGCCGGCGGCTTTGTGGAAGGCTAGAGATGGGAAGTAAAAGAATGTCCCAATCTGATCTTTCATCTGAAGTTTGTAGGTGAAGTTCTTGCCTGGTGGAATAGGGCATGTGGTTCCATAAACCCCATCTTCAAAGGAGTTTTTCCTGTTTTGCACTCCACTCCTTTTTTTTTTTCGTAAAAAACAAAAAGTTTAGCATCAAAAAGTATGTCACAGTAAATAAAAACGTGCAAATTTGCGGAATATAAGATACATATACAATTGATTGTATCTAATTATTGTGCAGCTAGAAATTAACACGGACCATTTCATTTGCTGTCAAAAGTACACCTATATTCTAAATATAGTTTGTTCTTTTAGCTTGAACTATGTATTAGTGTGTTCCTAAACAATAATGGAATGTGGGGACAAACACTAAACTTTAAATGGGCCAATGTCCGCCCCAAATGTGTGAACTCCCTGACCTTCTTTTGGTCAAATTTGAGGACACTATTCCAAGATCATAATAAAAGGAAGGAAATTAAGGCATGTTCTTTTGTCTAAAAAATTAAAAAAAGACAATTCGAGTTTCAATTTTATTTAAATTCACGTTCTTTTAAGTTTCAACTTTATTCAACTTTACTCAACTTTATTCAAGTTACAACTTCAACTCAAGTTATAACTTAAATTCAATTCAAAAATTACACTCAAGTTACACTCCAAAAGAACAACCCTAAGGCACTCTATTGATCATGACCAATCTTCAAGAGGAATTTTTTTTTTCTTTGAAACAAATTTTCTAGACGAAATCTGGCCACTTATGAAATTTGACCGCAAAAAAAAAGAAGAAGATGGATACAGCTGCTTAAGGGCTGTTATCCATGAGGATTGATCTAAGCTGCCTCCTTTAAAAAGGAAGATAATGAAAATAGTTTCATGACTTTAATTTTGTCAAACATGATTTAAAAAAGGTAAAAGAATATGTTATCAGAGTCAAATTAGTTACTATTCACTCATCCTTTTTTCTTTTGGCTGAAGACGCTTCACACAAATAATGTCTTCCAACTGTTACATTAATCATAACGGCGTGTGGCCTATGAGGCCACATGTATGATCCCTAACTGGAATTGTAATTAGTATAAGGGATTTTTTTTTTAGTATTTTCTCTTGTTTGAGAATACCGATTTTACCTGATTATTAGCTGTCGGATTTGTATTAAATATGGTCAATAGTCAAATTAGATTAAAAAAGTAATACACATAATATAAATAAGATTTGCATGTCAAAAAAAAAAAAAAAAACAACTCATAATTAAAGATTAGATTTTAGCAACTCTACCGCGTTTTCATGCATTAGACGTGTCTAGGTATACTATCTGTTCTATTGCGTTCAGCAACTTTTATATTGGCATTGCGTGTACGATATTTAAATAAACATAAATACTTTAAACATTCCCTATCCACATATCGCAAAGCTGTTTTAGACGTAATATTATATTAAAAAAAATCAGCCAAAAATTAAAAAAAAAAAAAAGAAGAAAAAGAAAGAGTAACAACGATACAAGAAGGGTGAAAGACAAAAGTGGTTATACGTAGTGTGTTTTTTACTTCTAAGATTACATCAACTACTCGAAAGCAAAATCCATAAGCATGCTTAATCTTAAAAGCGCTCTAAGCAATTGTGTTTATTATGTTTTTCGGAAGGATATATATCAATTAATAAATATATTTTTTTTCTTGAAAATATCAATTAATTATTTTACTCGGTGTTACCTAGTCGTCTTCACGTGCATTCTAAAAGCATAGTATTCCTAAAATATATAAATCCAAATTAATACATGCGTCTGAGAGAGACATTAAAGTGAACGCTAAAATAGCCGTGATTTGTATTAGAGAATTTTTGTTCCTATTTTTTTTCCCATAATATTATATCAAACGAGGGAAATATGACACCATTGATATCACGGAGGTGGGAAAAGAAAAAAAAAATTCTACATATGAAGCAAAAGAAAAGATTCTTTCTCACTAGGATCCGTATTGATTACAAAAACTAAAAAAAAATAAAAAAATAAAAAAAAAGTTTGTTATGAACCGCACTACGAAAGCTAATAAAAGAAACAAAGACGTCAACAAAATATATTACTTTGCTATTACGAATAAGTGATCACGACAAACACATACACAGTCATAATCACTAGCCAATCTAATTAATAGTAAATATCGTGATCAGAAAGCATATACATTATACAATTTGAAATTTATATCTATATATATATATCAGAAAAGATAAAGAAGAATATCAGCTCTCACCATGACAATAGGAAAGGTTCAGGCAAGTTGTTTTGAACATTGATGATGATATTATCATTGGTAACCGAGAAAATATCTGGTCCAGGAAATTGACCATTTATAAGAATACCCTGTAATATTAAAATATGGGAAGTAAATAACAAAGCAAAAGAAAAACAAAAATGGCGTACGTGGAAAGACATATATATTTAGTATATATATATATATATATATATATTTCTTTTTCAGATCAAAAGCTTTGTAACAACATAGTACTTATAAATAATGGAGAGAATAACATAATTTCTATACGAACCCTTTGACGAACACCGAGAGGATAGATATCGCCGTAGGTAATTTTCCAGTCGAAGAACCTGTAAGGGTCCTCGGCGCTAACGAGACCGGCCAAGACCAAAAGAATGAGAGAAAAGTGCCGTACGGCACTTGCTAAAGAATTTTGCAGCATTTGGAGAGATAATACAGTATTGATGAGAAAGAGAAAAGTGAAAAATGATCAAAGAGGGTACTAGTAATATAAAGAAGGTGGCGAAAAGGAGATGGTTTATAGTTTGGAGTGAAATAGAATGAAGATGATCACCTTAATTTGTGAGAATGTTTAGAGAAAGAGACACTTTTAATGTGGCTAAGAGGCCACGGGGCTATGACATATTTAAAGCGCAGTAGTAGGAGGGAAGTCAAGAAACAAAATAGTATTATGTATGATTAACACACACACACACACAAAAAAGTGAAGTGGGTGTCGGTTGGAAAGTGCCATATAATTGTTTTTTGGGTTCATAAAATCGGTGGCGAGTCCAACACAATTTTTTAAAATTCCATCTTGCGCTCTTAAAGTTTAGCCCGTGAGATGGATAAATTGAACCAATAATACTGTGATACGTACTCAAAAGTTAGAGTTTTGTTGATTTTAATGGCGCTAATGCCCTTCTTACGGTGGGGATTAGGAGTATGGAAACGAAGCTCAGCACAACCTCTTACGCTTTGGTTTATAGATGCCTGGCTGGATGATAGTGTAATGCCCGTGATTTGGGACGCGACACACGGTATTTTCATGTTTACATTTTCTCTCCAACCAAACACGCCATCTTCTTTTTCTTCCTTTCAAGGGGGGAAAAAAAATGAAAAATGAATTGCCAACCCTTTTTGTCTTGTCATGTTTGACCCTCAATTGACCAACGACTGCAAGTTGCTTCTGTGTTGGGTCCCACATGCAGTGACGGTGAAGATACATTATGTGAGCCGGACCGGATACACCACGACAGTTGGTTTATTCTTTTTTTTTTTTTTTTTTTTTGGGGGAACCTAAAGATTAATTAACGCGGAGACTATTATTGCTTCTGGGACATTCCCATGCTCTTTCCTTAGGATGTAGACAAAACGTTTTCATTTTTTATTTTAATTTTTAAAGATTTTAATCTGGTTGCGGAGAGAATAATAATCTATGATGAATATTGTGGTGGGCTACTGCCTGGATGATATCGTTTAATATTTTTATTGGCTTTGTTTTGTATGGCTTTCACATGCCTGGAAATCAGTGGATTTTTAATGTGGACGTTTTTATTTCTTTAATGGGTTTTAAGTTGACTGACATGTATGGAAAGTTCACGCGTCCATGCAAAATTAATGTGTGAAAAGTCATACCCTAGAAAAATTAATAGTTGAAATGTTCTTTGACAGAGATATGATTTTTTAGATTTGCGTTAAAGTTCGCACATATGAGGTTTATCATTTATCATGTACTGCACATGCTTGCTTTTTGAGCTCGATATTTTTGGGTTAATTTGTACAATTATCAATTACGGTTCTTTGACGATAATTCTCTTGTTAACGAAAATAATAGCGTTGCTTTAGAATCTAACCACTTGAGTGAATCGTTATACATTACCTCAAGAAAATCCCCTAGTTTTTTTTTTTTTTTTTTTTTTTGAAAAAAAACAAAGACTAGGTGATGCTTATGAAAGAGCCTTTTCTTATAATGAGCTTTGAGGTTTTTCTTTTCAATTTTGATTTATTTTTTTTATGATAAAAGCTTTTTACTAATTATTTGAGTGAACGATAAAGTTGAAAATGGAACATTGATTAATTTATGCTGGTTCAATTATATGATAACTAAATTCATGATGCAAATGCAAGGGACATGACTTTGTCCAAAACGAAAACTCTTTACTATTGGTAAAGGGGTTAATAAGTTATAATTTTTTTTTTTCCTAATGACGTGTTAAGGTATCAATATTAAAATAAAATAGAGCAACTATTGGGATAAAGATAAGCAACCACCATATACCAAAACAACTTATCCATATCTACTATTTTTCTTGCTTTCATCTTTAATTAAAATACCCTTCGCTTCCCAAGAGAGGTGGAAAATAATATTAAGAATAATAATAACAGAAGAGCAAGTATATTACATGAAGAAACAGAAAACCAATGGAAACCTAAAAATGCTTACCTTTTCATCAACATAAGTAGAATTGTGTGTCAACTCAGAGTTTACGTCTTTAATGAACGACGAAGTTCACAAAAGGCGCATAAAGTTGATTTTCATTGTATATTATAACCACAATAAATTTTCGAGCCTAAAAATCCCATTCACACACTACCAAAGTGAAAGCAATCACAAGTTGACGTTGTAATTGAGCCACTTTGTCACAATAACGCATTGATAAGTTGCTGTCTAATAACAAATATATTTCATCCAAACCTTTTCGACCGGGGATTTAGCCCCTACTAACGATCTAAATTTGGGGTTCTTTACGAAAATCAGCAAAGCTAAGTCTTGATTGATTTTTACAATCAGGGAAAAAAATCTTGTAGATTATATCACATCATTCTTTTTTAAATATCAAATATATCCTTAAGAGTATCATATTAAGATATTGGGAATAATCATGATCGTAAGTATCCGACAATGATACTAAAAGGAATAAACTGTGATACTTTTAAAGATTCAAACAATCGGCAATAGCCAATTAATTTACTACCATTGGTATACTACTATGATACATTCAAATATTGGCCGAAGATTGTCAGTTTCTTATCTTGATATTTTGCGGTCGTCAGACAGACACCATAAGTATCTTATTGCGATACCAAAATTACGATAACTGGGGGGTCATCCATTGTGCTACTGCCGTTTTTCTTACCAAAATATATGAAATAAGAAAATAGCAAAATATCACAAATGAATATTAAAAACACAAACAATCACAAAAACATTTATTTCTCACTAAAATATATGAAAAAAGAAAATACAATAAATAAATAAATAGATAGTAAAAGAGATCACGTAGAGACCACCTAGACATGAGGGAGATCTCATCTCCCCTAGCATCGGAGATCCACATCTTCTCTATGCAGAGGATTCAAAGGCGAAGGCAAACGTCCTCGTCGTATAAGGTAGGAGCAAGTTTGCCAGCAAGATAATAGCAACATGAAAGCAGATCATCAGCATCAATAGGGGAATGGTAGCAACTAAAGTAATGAGTCAGAGATCAGCTGTAGCCGAATGAGCATCGAGAAAGAAAGACGTCGAAAAATGTAAAATTGGCACTAAAGTATAGTTTTTATTTTCAACATTGCACATATTACATTTTTTTTTTTTGGAGTGGTGTATAGGGATGGGAAATCTAAAAGAATACCCTATAGTGAAGGTTAATAAAGATTTATATCGTTTTTATGGACTATAAGATTTATGCCCTCACCTTTTTTTCCTTTAGCTATTAACTTTAAATGTGAAGAACTCTTGTAAAATTAACACAAAACTAAGATGTGAGTTAAGTAGGACATGTTTCCTAATTTTCTCCATATTAAATCCTATAAGGCAGAGCGTGGCAGGCATAATTTCTCGAGAAAATCAAGTAATGACAAAAGTCTAACTTACCTTTTTAATTTTGTACCGTTCTCTTAAAATTCTATGAAAATTAAGTGATGACAAAAATTCTATAATCTTAGAGAAACGATATCATGCTCCCTTAAGTTATTGGGCGCATTCCTCTATATTCCACGTTAAATGGGCTCAAGATCACCTGTCCCTTAGGCCCAAAATCTAACATGACTAACAGTAAAGAGGCACTATGGCTATGTTTTGTGGCTAAAATTCATGTCCGTTTAGTTAGTTGACTTAAATTTTTAATTTAAATTAAAATGTAATTTTTTATAAATTTTTTTATTATAATAAAAAAATTAAATATAATTATTTTTAAAATTTTTTTATTATAATAAAA